TAGCACTCTTGCCTCAAAATAACAAGATGCTATGGGTCCAAATCCCATACTAGAGATTTGAGCTTATATTCAAGGCTGATGCACTAGGGCAGTATCAAAGGTGTACTCAGAAAAACCAAGATCCCCATTTGTGCTCTCACTTGGGACTTTTTAAAGAACAGTAAGGAAGTTCTCCCTGATGCCCCAGCCCTTACATATCAGAAGCAATGCGAGCAATAGATTATCCAGTCATTAATACATGGTTGTCTGTGGAATCTTGCTGTGCACAGAGTGGCTAGAACATTTCTTACATTATAACAATGATCACCCATCACAAGCAAATCATTCACTGTGAAGCATTTGAGTGCCCTAAGGTCGTCAAAGACTAGGTCTTTATTTATTTGTCAGGGCATTCTCTGAGGGGGATTTGGATGATCATTGTGAACATCCACAAAAGGATGGGGTTAAAAATCAGCAGGAGTGACTTGCTGCAACTACCTGGAGATAAGACTATTTCATTTTCAGCCTAGGCTTTGAGCCACATTTTGTAAAGACCAAAATGATTGTGAACAGCAGGGGGGTGTATAAATTCTGGGGCATCCATTGTCAGAACTTCCTCAGATATAAAGGGTAAATGTACCATTCATACGTTTTTCATTCAATCAAATATCACAGGAACTACTAACTGATTCCATAAAATGTAGCCATAGCAACAACACACAAAATATCAATACTCAGCGCTGAACTCATCTCCCTGGTTTGACCAGTTGCTACAGGCTATGTTTGATAGTGTTCATGCCCGTAAATAAGTTGATAAACATGGTATATCTGATTGTGATCTGGCCCATTGCTAATCCATATATCTCTTTATCATTTATATCTTCCACTGCCTAAATATGGATCTGTGTAAGTTTCTATATGCCTGTGCATACCAATAACAGTTCAGTACCAGTTTCAAACTTAAAAACAATTAAATGAAATAAAACACAATAAAGATGATGGGGTAGGTGAGATGTTGCAGCTGTAACATACCTACAATAAGTACCTGCAGCTTGAGAAATTGGACAGTAGGGATGATAAATTGGAGCTTGAGTTTCAGACACTGTGATATATCAGGGAGGGCTAATATTACCTTTCTTTGCTTTCTTAATTTCCTTTAACTTTTAATCCTGTACTCTACACTCATTTAGGCTTTCAGTAGCTTTGAGCTCTCATTATCTGAGAGGTTCCTTTTCTCACTTTATCCTTTTTAATTTTGTCTTTATTATTTAGTGAGATCCACACTTTTTCTTTGTCTAAATGTACTTGTTCTATATTTCATCCATTAATTCCTCCCATACGGCTCACTGATTTAACTTCAATTTGTTGTTTCAATCTATCTTTACCAAATAAGACCTTGGTTTAAGAAAATTGAGTTTTGTCTGATTTAATTTTTTTTACTTCCTTTTACTATCTTTGTCCTTTTCCATAACTATCTACGTTCTGGGGATTACCATTGACCAGATATTGATATGGATCAGCCATGTAAATGCTATGTCTACAAAAGTAGGCCAGGAAATTTGTGGCAAATAACACACTTCCTGACTCTACCATGGCAGAAATCAGGAATGTGATGGACTACTATTCACTTCTCTGATGGGTGCAATTTCAACAATCCTCAAGAATCACAGCACCGTTCAGGACAAAGCAGTCTGCTTGATTGGCACCCATCTACCACATTAAACATTTCCTCCCTCCAATTTTCAGTAGCAGCAGTGAGTACCATTTTACAAGATGCACTGCAGCAACTCACCCAGTCTTGTTCAAGAGTTCTGTCCAAACTGATACCTCTATCAGCTAAAAGGACAAGCAGATACATGGGAGCACGGTCATACAGGTTCCTCTCCAATCCACCATCCAGACTTGGAACTATACCACTGTTCCTTCACTGTCACTGGGTCAAAATCCCAGAAGTTCCTTCACAACAGCACTGCATACTGCCATAGATTGCAGCAGTTCAGTAAAGTCCCTGCCTTCTTAAGGGCAATCAGAGATGAGCAATAAATTATGCCCGAGCCAGTAATTACATATAACCTACGGACAATGAAAGAGAATCATGCTAAATCTAACTGAATTAAGAGTATTACCTTCTAGCTTCCATGCAGTGGTACTTTTTCACTTGCCAGGATTAACTCCCTAGAACTAAATCCAAATGTGCACCTTGTCTTGTTGCATTTGCTGTGCACCAGTCACAGTGGTTCTCCAGAATGCATTTTAAAAATTCTACACCACCATACTTTTTATACAGATTTTATCCAGTTAATATTAGAGTTGTTCAAATTCCTCACTATTACTGCCCTTGAGATGATTTTTAATATATGATTATTATGACAGAACTCGGGTTCTAAAGTAAAGGTGTGTTTTTGGTTTTCAGTCCTGTAAAGACCTGTAAACTTTTCTAAGGGTCAAAAATTCATTTTTTTAGTAGTGGGTCAATAGAGTATTTCCAAGAAATCATGTGACTTAAGCTGAATGACTAGACAAGCTATTTGCTGAGATAATTGCGGAGTGTTTACTATGTTAAGATTTCTGACCCAGAGAGAGATAGATGGAGAGAGACCACAAGGAGGTCAAGTGCAGAGAGAAAGGATCCATGCCAGTTTTCTTTCCTTGAAGCACTCCTTGATTTGGTTTGAAAGCTACCTCAGCAAGGAATTTACAGGTATGGCACAGTATTTCAACATTTATGTTGTTTTTTTCTGAGCAGAAAATGTCCTCAGGTGCCGAATTCTGGCTTTAGCATTGATTCCTATGGGAAAGCATGCTTCACTTTAAGTAGTTTCACTTAAAGTTGCAATTTTCAGGAAATCAATCCTGAATTTAAGTAAGAACACCATGTATTTGCAAGTGTTTATCTGTGCCCCATCTCATCAACTTCATTCACTATACTCCTTTTTTATTCACTTGCAGAACATGGGCATTGCTAACTGGCCAGCATTTCTTGCCCATCCCCAGCTGCCCTTGAGAAGGTGGTGGTGAGCTGCCTTCTTGAGCCCCTGCAGTCCATGTGCTATAGGTGGACACAGAATGCCCTAAAGGTGGGAATTCCAGGATTTTGATCAGCTGTACTATATAATTATCCCTAGTATTTCCCTCTGTTCTATATTATTCCCAGTATTACCCTCTGTTCTATATTACTGTTCCCAGAATTATGCTTTTTTCTATATTATCATTAGGAGTATCTACATCTAATATTATTATCCCAATATTACCCTCTATGGTGTATCATTACCCCCAGCATTACCCTCTGTCCCGTATCATTATCCCCATCATTACCCTCTGTCCCGTATCATTATCCCTGGTGGGTTTGGAAGGCGCTATCTAAGGATCTTTGGTGAATTTCTGCAGTGCACCTCATAGATGGTACACACTGCTGCGACTGATCATCAATGATGGAGGGAATGGATTTTTGTGGATATGGTGCCAATCAAGCAGGCTGCTTTGTCTTGGATGGTGTCAAGCTTCTTGAGTGTTGTTGGAGGTCACTCATGCAGGCAAGTGGTGAATATTCCATCAAACTCCTGACTTGTGCCTTATAGATGGTGGACAGGCTTTGGGGAATGAGGAGGTGAATTATGCACTGCAGTATTCCTAGCCTCTGACATACTCTTGTAGCCAATGTATTTATATGGCAAGTCCATATGAGCTACTGGTCAAAAGTATGCCCCAGAATGTTGATAGTGACGGATTCAGTGATAGCAACACCATTGAATGTCAAGGGGCAGTGGTCAGATCATCTTTTATTGGAGATGGTCATTGCTGGCATTTGTGTGGTGTGGATATTAGTTGCATTGGAGTCTACATTATTAAGTACTGAGCTCTTCCTTTGTGGTCTATTTTCAGATCTTTGTTTTAGTTTATCCTCTGTAATAACACACGCAATTTCTGCTTCCCATTTCTACCTTTGCTTTTATCCTAACTGAATGTTTAATTTCTCACCCCCTTGCCAAGCAATATTGACCAGACAATAACCTACACAGTTATTGGAAAACCTTTTCCTTACCTTGGTTTAAGCCCTATGGTTTTCCCAGTCTACATCATTGGGAATAAAGTCTCCTAATTTTATAACTCTCAAACAACATCAGAAATTGCTGGAAAAGCTCAGCAGGCCTGGCAGCATCTGCGGAGAGAAATCAGAGTTAACGTTTCGGGTCCAATGACCCTTCTTCAGAACACAATGTTATAACTCCATGTAGGAGCAGATTACTGCAGATGCAGGAATCAATACTGAAAACAACAAATGCCGGAGATCACAGTAGGTCAGACAGCATCCATGGAGAGAGAGCAAGCTAACGTCTCGAGTCCTAGATTCCAGCCTTTGTTGTTTTCGGTACATATTATAATTCCATTCGTGTTAAACACCTCTGAAATTTTCCAAAAAAGTTGCCCCTTTTTGCTTCTCACCTTTTGACAAACAAAATTGGCTAACGAGATAACAGCTTCCTCCTCTGTTTCTCAACACAGATAAAATCCTACAACTATCCAGTTAATCCTTTCCACTTGGAAACGCAGCGGCATTTTTTTAACCAATACTGCCACACCATCCCCCTCCACCACCACACCGCTCCCCCCCCCCCCCCACCCCCCACCCCCCACCCCCCAGCTCGCCTTTTCCCTTCTCTAAAACAGTTATTAATGTCACCGAGAGCCGGAGCAGGTGTGCTGTGTGCCTGTACGGAGCTGAGAGTGTATCTCCGTGTTTATATCTAACTGCGGTGTAAGGTGTATGAGTGGTGTGTGGTCTCCGCGTTTATATCTGACTGTGTGCGAGTGGATGAGAGTAACAGCAGTGTGGATGGATCTACCCCCGGAGCTGGGCACGTCAGTGCCCATACATGGGTAGTGGAGCAATGCTCCATTCATAGGGATCAGTGTATAAAAAGGAAGGAGTGGCCTGCGGCTCTCTCATGGGACGTTCACAGAGTCTGTGTCACTGGAGTCTGAGAGAGACAGGGAAGGGGGGTGGGGGGTGGGGGGTTTAGCCTGGCGTCTTCCGTGTCTTTACAAAGCAAGGGGCTAGCAACCAGATGCGGCTTGATGGGACAGCAGTGAGGATGGAGGTGTCGGATGTTGAGTGTAACCAGGTGAAACGCTTTCTGAAGCAGGGCGGCCGTAAGTCCCTCACCCTGGACTGCCGATCGTTCCTGGCTTACAGCGCGGGTCACATCAGCGGCTCGCTCAACGTCCGCTGCAACACCATCGTCAAACGCAGAGCCAAGGGCTCGGTCAGCCTTCAGCACATCATTCCGGCCGAGAAACCTCGCAGCCGGCTCCAAGCCGGTTTCTACTCGGCCCTCCTTCTCTACGACGACAGGAGCCAACGGTTTGACCTGGTCAGGCACGACAGCACCGTTAACACGGTTCTCAACGCGCTGCTGGCAGCCTCCCACCCACCTCACATCTACTTCCTGAAGGGTAAGGGCGCTAACCATTTCCCCATTCAGGTCAGCTTGCAACCGGGACATCTTTCCCCCCATCCATCCCGCTTTGTCTCCTGTTCAGCCCTTGTTCAGGTTAGGACTCGCTGAGCTGCTGGGGGAAGTTGCTCTGAAATTGAACAACCTTCGTTAAAGCGCATCACGAGTCTAGGGGGTTATTGTGATGTTTAACAACAAGATTTTTCGAAACTGCACTACGGTATGAGTTTGTGTTGAATTAATGTCTGTGAATGCTGTGCTCCGACAGTACTCAGCTTCAGGAATGTGTTCCTTGTTAATGATGGTACTTACAAAGGGGTCCGCTGTCAATATCAGAATGTCTCTTGTTAGTAATTACAGATAAAGGGTAACAATGTTTCCTGGTCAGTTTTCAATGTGGACAGTATTTCTTGGTAACAATAGGGATAGTTTTTATTTGCTGTTGTATTTTCTCTGTTAGACTGGTTACATTGTGTGAAGCTGTTCACATTGATAACAACGGCGTTTTCACTGAATCCTGTTCTTACATCTCTCTGAAATGTTCCAACACCATCTTTTCAGGCAGGCAGCTCGTGTAATAAGCGAGGGTTTCCTTCCTTTTGCCATTCGACGTTTACCCTCTGCCCTGTGTCGGCAGAAAGCGAAGACCAGGAGACGGAAGAGGGTACTCGGTAGACGGTGCCGGACGGTCACTGTACCGGGGGCGCCTGCTCCCCCAGTTAGAGCCAGTGTCCTGCCGGCTAGAGTGAGGAAAGCGCACGGGAAGATGCCAGAGCTTAGCCTGAAGAGCAGTGCTGGGGGGTGGGGGTTGTAGATGGGGGTTGAGCTGAACAGGAGATAGACAGCGGCTCTCTCAGTTGGACATTTCATTCTCAGAGGCGGGCTGGGAGGTCTCCCATTCCCTTCATTCATAAGTGTAAGGAATTTTCCCTCTCCCCAGCCGCACACACACCCCACCCCCTTGTTTACTGATGTACTCCTGCCCTCCTTAGGCATCACAACACCAAGCGGGAAAATGCAGCCAAAATAAACCCACAGTCGTTACAGAAAACACATCTCCCGTGTGAAAGGAAACGATCATTGCAGTACCACCTCATTCATTCATGAAAACCACATAGCCCTCCCCCATACTCCGTGTTTAATATTGCGGAGTGTGTATCCTTGCTGCTATTACATCTCTCCCCTTTGTGTTACCAAGACTTACAGCAAATTGCAACCAAATAGTTGCTGGAAAAGAGACGCAGTGCATTGATGTTGTTCATTAACTATTTGGTGAGAATCAATCCACTGGTGAGCGGGCTCTGTGTTTTATTGTCTTGTTAGTTTGAATTTGATTGCTACCTGGTCAAGTCTTTATCACAACTCCTGCCCGCTCCCTATTGCGAGCGAATGGATTGAGGAGAATGGTGTATGTGTGTCTGTATGTATTACGAGTTTGTCTTTTGTGTGTGTGTTTCCCCGCTGTACGCAGAAATCGATCACTCCTGTTCACTGTTCACCTGACCACGTATAAAACCTACCCAGGAAGCTCCATTCTTTGCTAACACAGTAACAACCCACTCCTTATTGATTTCCCTCCTTAAAGCTGAGACAGGTCGGCAGCTCAGCTCCATTGTTCATTTAATGAGCAGCCAAAGGCGACGAAAACCAATCGTGAAGACCATTTCCTGTAAATAGAAGCTGGTGATCCGATTGTAATCTCAAATCCCCAAATCCTGCCTGCCTCCCGCGAACCGTTCGCCCCTCGCCTCACAGTAATCTATTCACCCCCGCCTGAACAATATTCATAAACTGCTTCCACAGCCTGTTCAAGAAGAGATTTTCAAAGACTCACAACCCTCTGACGAAAATAAAATTGCTTCATCTCCGTTTTAAGTCTCCTGATGTTTAAATGGAGACTTCTTCCTCGTAGGTTCTTCCCTCAGAGTAAACACATATACCCTATCAGACCTCTCCGGACTTTATATGTAATGATTAGGTGCCCACCCAAATACTCTGCCATACTCTAAGTGTGTCGACCAACCACTCTTGTTTTCTTCCTCTGAATGCAGTAAGCCCTCCATAAAGACATTAAAACTATCTGCTTCTATTGGCCACGCGTGCCACGTTCTCATTTTCATGTTTGGCCGGAGGGCAAAGGAAATAGGAAGAAGGGCTTAATTTCACACAACCCCTTTCCGGATCTTAGGACCTCACAAAGCACTTTGGAGCCAATGCAGTGCCCTTGGAAATGAAGGTACTGTTCTAACCCATAAATCCAGCAGTCGATTTATTCAACAAGTTCGCACCGACAGTAGTGTGATAATGACTAGAGCAAACTAGAGCAGAAAGACTCCCTGATAGAACCCACACCATCTCCTGCCACGGCAGACTCTGTTACAATACTTCGTGGTTTTCCTGTCTGCATTCTATCCAAATGCTATTTTATAGGCAGCTGGTCCAGAAGGTCAAGCCAGGTGAGATTTGTAATATAAAAAAAAGATGAGGTCACCACAGTGCTGCTCCCTCATTAGAGAGAGATGACTGGCGTTCGTTGACCTGAGGGTCATCACAGCTCAGGCAAGGGGAGAGGTTGAGAAGAAGAGTCCTTCATGGTAACATCAGCCTGTGTGGGAATTAAACCCACTCCATTGGCATCACCCTGCATTGCAAACCAGCCATTCAGCTAAATGAGGTCATAATATTAATGATAACATTGTAATAGAGAGGGCTGTGTATAGATGTGTAATGCAACAACTTTTCATTCCTTCCTTTCCAGCCTTCTGCACTTTTTCTTGTGTAGACATATCCACCCCAAGATTGGAAGAGACAAAATTCCACATTAGTTTAGGGTTTTTACTAGTTCTATAACATTTCATGAAATTAGATTTTGATTTAAGGTTCTTTCAAATTTTCACTTATCCAGAATTTAGATATCCACCTTCTCTAGCCATATTCCCCTAAGTTCACTTTTCTATAAGAGTAAACAGATGAGTCAGAGTTTCTCTAAGTCACAATTCTGTGATTCTTAAGATGCATGCTGTGGGTGGTGGGATTAATCTTCACATTCATAGCATCAGCATTGTTGACCAGAGAATGGTTACTGGAAGTGAAACCTGCATAGGCAAAATTCAGTGAGCTGGCCATATAGAAAGGAAGCAATGATGGAAATGAATGATTCAGAAACTGTGGAATCAATAAATCTGTCAGCTCCCCAGAAAGAGGTATCTGTCATCTCCTGAATATCATTGTATCCGTGCTTCAGGCAAGGTCAGTCTAATCACCTTCCTGTGGCGTTATCCAAAAAAAGTCTCGGATGTGACCTGAACTGAACCAATATTCACCAAGTGCACTGTTGCAGTCTTTATGGTCTATGGGTCTACAGCACCAGCTCTCCAACAGCACTCCTTCCCTGTAACTTCCATTACTGAGAAGAACAGGAGCTGTACTGTTGCAGAACAGAATGATTTTCATTTATATTTTAACATTTGTGATCTCAGGACACGCCGAAGTGCTTTACAGCCAAAGAGCCAAACACAATCACTGCAGTAATGTTGGAAACATAGCAGTCAGCTTGTTTTCAGCAAACCCTCTCAAACAGCAATGTGATAATGACTGGACAATCTGTTTTTGTGATATTGATTGAGGGATAAATGTTAGCCAGAACACTGAGGATAGCTGCTCTGCTCTTCTTCAAAATAGAATCTTTTACATTCACTTGAGATGGCAGACGAGGCCTTGACTCAAGATCTTTTCCAAATGATGGCACCTCCAACAGTTCAACAACCGTTTGGTACTGCATTGAAGTATCAGCCTGATTTTTGTGTTAAAGACTTGGAATTGGACTTGAACTGACATCCTTCAGACCTTGAAGAGCTCTGTCATCTCTAACTTTTCTACCAATTCCCATGCCAGCTGTTCTTGGACAGATACTGCTATTCCTTCATCATTGCTGATCAAAATATTGCAACTTGTTTGACTCTGTACAAAATTCAGAATTTTTTCTTTTTTTATTTATTCATTAACGGGATGAGGATGTCACTGGCCAGGCAGCATTTATTGCCCACCCCTAATTGCCCAGAGGGCAGTTCAAAGTCAACCACATTGCTGTGGGTCTGGAGTAACATGTAGGCCAGACCAGGTAAGGATGGCAGTTTCCTTCCCTAAAGGACATTGGCCTAGCAAGCCACTTCGAGTGCAAAGATAATCCCAGTTTCTGTCCTATACTGAAAGCTTTCTTCGTAAACTCTGCTCTCCTGTCATCTTCACCCTCACCTCCAACAGTTAGTGTGAGTAGCTCATGGAATGTTAATCCAGAGACCCAGGTGATGTTCTGGAGACCCGGGTTTGAATCCCAACATGGCAGATGGTGGGATTTGAATTCAATAAATACCTGGGATTAAGAATGTAATGATGACCATGAATCCACTGTCGATTGTTGGGAAAAAACCCATCTGGTTCACTGATGTACTTTAGGGAAGGAAACTGCCATCCTTACCTGGTCTAGCTTATGTGACTCCAGACCCACAGCAATGTGGTTGACCCAATAACTGCCCTCTGGGCAATTAAGGATTGGCAATAAATGCTGGCCTAGCCAGTGATGCCCTCATCCTGTGAATGAATAAAAAAAAATCACCTGCATCCACCCTTATAACATTGCCTAACCCTGCACCAGCCTCAGCCCATTGTTGAAACCCTCACCCACACTTTTACTAACCACTGCACTTTGAGTATTTAAATGCCCTCCTATCTGGCCTCCTATTCTACCCTGCATAAACTGAAGTTATCTAAAATTCTCCCACCTATGTCCTAACTTGCACCAAGGTACATGCACCCATCACCTTTGTACTCTGTTCTACATTGACTCTCAGTTAAGTATCATCACAACTTTAAATTCCTTATCTTTGAGTTTCAATTCTGGCTCAGTTCATTATCCTGATGCCTCTAAGTTGGAAGGTTGTGAGTACAAGTTTGGCTCTAGTACTAATATTCTGGATTAATACTTCAGTGTAGTGCTAA